CCAACATAATGAAGGAATTTTTTTTTCTCTGTCCTGAAGCATTGTGCTTTCTGGGCTGAGTACATTTAACCCCTTGCTGACAATAAATTTGTTCAGTCATACATACATAGAGTGTTGAGTTTTTTACTTGAATTTTTGTTTGTTATATCATTTCTGTGAAACTTTTGTTTCACTGAATTTTGGTGTGGGTGGTTGGTGGGTGCTCTGGTGTGGATTGCTCTTTCATTCCCATCAATCATCCGTCCATTTTATTTCTCTTCTATTTCTTCGTATATAACTTTCTAGTAACACCTGTCATCTTTGGCACTTATAAATATGATATGACCTATTTGTGTTGCAAGTGCTGTAAAATTCTTACTGACTTGCTGAAACTAAGAATTTTGATGGGTTGTTGAAATACGATCCTTTCCCTCATGCTATATAGTTTTGTACTGTTGTCCCCTTCTAGAACCACATTGTAGCCTACTTAACCGTATCTGTACGCCCTGGGGTCATTTTGTACCCCTGGAGTTGTATTCGTCACATTTTAGAATACATCTAGTACGAAGATCTCCTTGAAACTTTCAGTGTTTCTCAAAAAATCATTTTGACAGACTACTGTGCAAAGCGTACGGATCGGATTAACGAGTAAAATTTGCTCTTTGAAAGTGGTGGCACAGAGTACGTTGTAAGGATACGAGTGTTGTAAGGATACGATAGTAAAACACGAAGTACGGATAGGGTTAAAAATAATAATAGCTGCAGCCGATTAAGCACTCAAACACTTACAAACTGACAAGATATGTCACTGTCTATAGCAGGGTACCGATTCCCATCTGGGTGAGGTGAGGTGAGGAAGATTTGTGTAAAGTGCCTTTTCCAAGACACAACGTTGGGCTCCTGACAGGATTCGAACCCACGACCTTATGGTTGCGAGTCTGAGAGCCTAATCACTAGGCCACAGACGCCACTTATTACTTATTTCCAAAGCAGATAGTTGCTTGGTCTCTGCCGTAATTCTTTTTTGGTGTAATTTCTTTTACAGACGAACCCTGTTATACTGTACTTCTCCTTTCTCTCCCCTCCTCTTCGCCCGTTATATAATATATTATACCGCCAGCCCTTCTTACCATCAGGTTTATCCAACGCACAAAAAGGAAAAACGGAACGCAGTCTATAGATTGCCCATCGACAAAACCGCTAACTGCTGAGTTGTGTGGCCCTTACTAAATGAATATATTTGCCCTGTGACACTGTTACTCAGCCAGTAAACTCACCTGGCTGCCAGATGTAGCCTACTATACATGACACAACACTGCTTGGCAGCGGTGCTGTCCCTTTCTCCCATACATGATTGCAAGCTACTTCGTATTACTCATGT